ATTTAACAGAAATATAATGAACTTCTTGTGCAACGACTATACGTAATTTTTATTGGAGCTTATTCAATTCACACTCACTGTAAATCATAGTGAAGGACCACTGGATCATGGACCCACCTCCCTGGGGGCACTGCTCAGACACTGCACCTGGATACTGACAGTGCTATAAGGATGCCATCTACCGCCGGCCCGTGTGTCATCACCAAGATAGAGAGAGTGGGGAGCATGATTACCAATCGAATGTGACCATTGTGACAGACGTGTCATGAGAAATGTAACTAGTTAGGATGGGACCGCTGTCTCACTTACGACCCTAAGACCAATATAGAGGAATGGCTCTCATCATTGACCACGGAGGGGAGCTGAATGGGGCAGTAGTGCCCCGAGTTGACTTTTCACTCTGTATTTCATGGTTTTTAATACTATATGCTTATTAAAACTTATAACTCAATGAAACTTTCTAATTTGGCCTTTCCCTTTGATATGCATTCTGGAGTATGGATTGTTTTTTTAAGTCCAGTAAAGAAGCCCATAGTTCTGTATGGTAGATCAAGCGCTGTGTTCTAATCCACTTATTTATATACTTGCAGCCTTATTTTTTTACAGGAAGTATTGGATGTCTCTGTGCACTAATAAAGCTATAAATTCAAAAATAATTTCAGAAGGCACCGCCATCGGAAGTGTAATCTCAATTTAATTACAAAGTTATAAGCAAGAAAGGAAAGGGTTTAAAATATCACTCCACTAGGATGATGTAGAGTAAAATTGCGCGCATTTCATCAGTCCTTATTTCAGCTGGCAAGCGCCTTTCAGTGGACAGTCGGAGTGCTGGGATGACGATGTATCCCTAATAATAGCTCTCTGCAGGATAGGCTGGAAATAGAGCTGTATCATGTCAAGATTGCCAGATTGTGTCCATATGACAGCTGTGTCTATATATACTTTTATTATATATTATTAAAAATATTTATTATTTTAAAGGTTGTTGTGTTGGTGTGTTTGTTTGTTGTGTAGGAGTGTTACATTAGTATATTTTTAATGTAAGTTGTGTTTGTAACATTTAAGTTTTATTCTTTGAATTGCCCCATGTGCATTATTATATGGTTATGTCCTTATTTTCATTTGGTTTCTTTTAATTTTTTGCGGTGAGAGTTCCACCTTTTATGTTTTGTGGTTTGGTTTGATTTTTTTGAGATCAGTGACTGTGTTTTGAGTCTATTCAGTCAGTTCACCCTGAATTTTGTAAGAAATATTGCCACTCATACTTGCTAAACTATCTATTAGTCACATTTTCATGTGTGCTACATTTCCCCTCCCAGTTCCTCCTTCAGTGCCTAATAATGCTAATTCGTGTCCCTCTTATGGTTTGTCAAGGGGATAAACTGATTGTGGGATATCTGATAACATGTTTATTACGCTTGTTCTAACTGCTTAACAGCTACATGGCCCAACCGTCACTTTCTGGATTCCGGTTCCTAGCATTGAGCACTTGGCGTGTTCTTCTGTGATGTGGATTATATTTTCTTGCCTGGGAGGAGGGAAACAAGCTCCTGTTAATACTAGGTATGGAAACTGACTATTTCTGACCAGCTACTATGTCCACCTATCCTGTTGACCTGTTTTTATACTCGGATACATCTGTCTACACGCCATCCATCCACCCACCCCACCTGCTGTCCACCAAGGCGTTGCCAGCGAGTGTAAGGACCTGACGATTTTGCCCATTTTACTGTCATGCTTGTGAGTGTATTTTAACCTTTCCCTTTCCTTGTTTTAACATTAATTCTCACTCTACTCTATGATTGGATGCAGCGCCTTTCTGTTTAATTGTTTTACATGGCTTAAACATACACACCGGGAATAATGTTTCCCCCTCCCAGCCCCCCCGCCCCTTTTTTAAAATATTTTGATTTATCAAAGGAAATTATTTTTTATTGAGCCCACTTTGTCAAATTTACAAAAACTCACAGCAACATTACTAACAGATACAGAGACAACAATCTCGCCATCAGATACAAATGAAACAATTTGACAACCTTACATTTCAGTTGAATGAACAGGCTAGCTAGTGCAAACGATGCAAGGTGATACATAAAGGTCCAGTATCCGTTTCAAAAAAGCAATGGTGGCATCATGACGTGTAGTAGTGAGATCAATAGTTGGCAACAAGGAAAAAAAAAATTCTAGGAGCGGCGGAAATCAGATGGTCACAGCCCTAACCTCACTTGCAATACTCGTCTCTCAAAAAGTATAAACCCAAAAATTCAATTAGTCCCACAGCTACTGGATTAACAATAAATGATCTATACTCTCTAGTGGGTTTAGCTTTTCACAGCCTGCCGTACGATCCATAAAGAAGAAAAAATACTAGTAAAAAATATAAGCGGAACAATCGTGTATGTTGTATATATATATATTTATTTATTTATTTTTTTTTTTTCGTGAGCCTAGTTACTTTTTCTTTAATAAAAAATCAAATGCCAGCAAACCATTTTCATTCTGATCGTGAGTGGGGAAAGGTTAGAACAGCATTAGATATTTGTTCATGGAACCTTTGGCGAGATATCTCTTCAACTTCCTGTCAGTAAGGAAAATCTTATGTTGGCCACAGATGATTCCTCCCATCTACACAAATGAGTTGGATGAAGGCATCCCTCCTGCCAAAACATTTTATCCTCACAGTGGGGCTCTCTGCTGTCAGAATACACTGATCAGTGACTACAGCTGCTGATGGCCAATAGTTTTCCCAACATTACCATTTGACAGAAGCTGATCTAACAATTGACTTCTGTTTAACAGGGACAGCCACACATGGATTGATATTCAGCTGGTCCCTGCCGAACCGAACACATTTTGATTCATCTATGGACAGCTTTACTGAGGAATTCAAGACCAGAATAAAATCCTGACAGATGTTCTAATCCATCGCCAGTCCTACTAATGAAAAAAAATGCTGTCTTGGATGGATTCTCCAAATTTTCTGTCCTAATGATGCAACAGGAAGATCTCAAAGGGATCTCCCATACAGGGATACAGACAACCTTAAAGTGGTTCTTAAAACCTTAAGGGCTCGTTCACACTTGACTGTTTTACCAACTCTTGCCAAACTCCACTATAACGTTTGGCAAACGTTGGTTCGGCGTTTGCGGAGCGTTTTTTAATGCTTGGCAAAACGCCGCATGCGCAGTTCAGCCGGCGGTTGCTAGGCATTTGCTGAGCGTTAAAAAACATCCCACAAACTCCTATAATGAAGTTTTGGATGGTGTTACCCGCCACTGCAACCGCACCACAAAATGCCGGCCGGGCATTTGCGGAGTGGCACCATAGACTAGAATAGGAGGCTTCAATGCCTCCTGACTCGACAAGAGGCGTCTGTTTTGCCGCGACGCTACGCTCACTCTCGTTAGAACAGCACCATGTGCTGCAATGGGCAGAATTGTCCAAGGCGTTTGGGAGGCGGTAGTAAAAAAAGCTTCCCAAACGCCTTTCTGCCACTTGAAAAACAAGGCTATGTGAACGTAGCCTAAGGCTGGCCATACATTATACAATTATCTGCAGATTTTTTGGTTTAGATTTTCCAAAAACCATATAATAGTGAGGACAAACCTAAACAACACTTTCAGTTGTATCCAATTAGGCAGGCCCTTGCACTACATAGTTTGAAGGTAAATCTAAAGGAAATTGGGCAGAAAATCTGCAGATAATTGTATAATGTATGGCCAGCCTAAGGTTTGACGAAAAGCGTTCTAACCCTTTCCAACTCTAAAAGGTTTTTTTTTTGTTGAGTTCTGTTTTAAAGAACAAGAGAACACACCTACACTATAAATACTGGCATGCTGTTTCCTTGCATGCCATAGCTGATAAATGGATATTCCTCTGCTGCTTTTGCCTAATAAAAGATCTTTGCTAATTTTTAATTGCATGACTTGTGGTGTTTTGTGTTGGCCATTTGCAACTGAAAAACTGGATCGGGACTAAAGATTTGTTTTGATATGGACCTTATTAAAATTAATAAATAAAAATTATATATATATAATTTTATCTTTTTTCTGATTTCTAGCAGAATTAGCCTTCAGTATTCCTGCCAGTATTAGTTTTTAATATTGTTGATGTGGGAAAGATTAAATAGTCATACTTTGCACTCATAGCAAGTAAGATAAGAGTGTGAACAGTCACAGGAGCGATAGTCATACACATATTTGACAGTCGGCTGGCTGTCCTTAGTCCTTTCAGTCACTTTACATGTCAGCATGACCTTTTTGTTGCAGTGCATTAATACATGTGTTAATGTGCATTATGGCACTCATTAATGTGTGTTGGGTTAGGTGGCCTATAATTGTGAAAGGGCTTCCAGTGAATCTTAACAGATTAAAAAAACATCCATGACCCTTAATGTAGCACAGCACATGGTATATGGGTTGTTTCATGTTGTTATGCACCATGTGATGTGCTCTCCTGTACAATGTGTTAAGGTATCAATAAATTGCACTTCAATGCATCACACTTGGAGCAGCTGCTTTGCCATGCATTGTGGTAACACACAAACACATGCACTTTAGCACTCTTTGCCACAATGCAGAAGTGTAAATGGGCCTTAACTCATACAGCTGTGCTGCACACAAGTACAAAAGGTAGTTGCCAGCGAAATATCCTATTGTTGAGCATGGCTATGTGAGTCTAATTTCTCACACAAGCTGCATTTATCAACCTAACCCAAGAAAAAAAAAATACCCAATAGGAGTCTCCATTACTTGTATTCACATTGTTATGGTTGGTTAGTAAAAATATTATCTACAGTACTTTGTAATTTCTTTGTTCCCTCAGTATTTCTCAGCCTGTTGGTTTGGGCTGGGGCATATGGAGAAAGCAGCAAAGGTTCAAACTTTTTGGAAGAATGTCTTCAAGATCCAGAGTATGAAGAAGTGATGAATATTGCCATACACGGGTTGCCTTCTGTCCCAAAGACGTGCCGGAAACACATTGTAATTGTTGGTGCTGGGATGTCTGGATTATCAGCGGCCAAAGCATTACAGGATGCTGGTCACAGAGTAAGTAGAATTTTTGCAGGAAGGTACTCAGACATTGATAGTACTCCTTTCCACCCATTTGCAATATACACTCACTGGCCACTTTGTTAGGTACACCTGTTCAACTTATTATTTACCAATTGCCTGAAATTGGTAATCAGCCAATCACATGGCAGAAACTCAATGCATTTAGGCATGTAGATGTGGTGAAGACTATTTGCTGAAGTTTAAACTGAGTATCAGAATGGGGAAGAGAGGGGATTTAAGTAACTTTGAACATGGCATGGTTATCAGTGCAAGACGGACTGGTCTGAGCATGTTTAAAAAAAAAAAAAAAAAAAAAAAAAAAAAAAAACCCTGCTGGTGATCTACTGGAATTTTCAAGCACAACAATCTCTAGGGTTTACCGAGAATGGTCTGAAAAAGTGAAAATATTCAGTGTGGACTATGATGCCTTCTTGATGTCTGAGGAGAATGGGAAGACTGGGTTCATGTGGTAGGGTCAAAATCTGGTGTAACATGAAAGCATGGATCCATCCTGCCTTGCATCAACAGTTCAGGTTGGTGGTGTAATAATGTGGGGGATATTTTCTTGGCACAAGCAAGACGTACCTAATAAAGTGGTCGGTGAGTGTATACTGTACCTTGGTAACGTATGATAAGGTTTGGAAATGCTTGATTGTTTGTAAATTTATCAAGCACTGTTAAAGTCTCACCATGAAAGTACAGGCATAACCAAAAACTTTTTTTTTTTTTTTTTTTTTTTCTCCAATTTTAAATGGAGAAAGGAAAAGTTAAATAGAACTAAACGCTCACATTCCAGCACGTGTCTCAGCGTAGTAAAGTCTACCGCATGAGCTTCATAAACCCTATTCTGCATTACATAACAAACTTAATCTCAGCTAACAGAGGGACATCTGATAAATTACTTTTACTTGGGCTAGGTTCACACTATGTGGGTGCCTAATCGCATGCTTTACCTCACCCGCTTGCTGTTAGCAGGTGCCATAATTTCCTGTTTTACCACCCCTGATCACCCACCTGAGCTAGGTGATGTAGTTGGTCATGGGCTGTTCACATGGCAAAAATTAAATGGCAGGTCACTGTGAATAGGGATTTGCTACAATAGCCTTGCAACTGCGTGCAACACACATGGTTATGGTTTCAGGGTTTAAACAGGTTCCCCTTAACTGCTTGCCAAACACCAGTCACACATCTGAAAGAGCCCTTCTAGCCCTCCTTCCTCCCTCAGAGCCCCCTAGATCCCTTTAGTTCCATGCACTCCATAGGGCCCAACTCTCCTCATCTCCTTCATCCCACTGACATGGGTGCCAATCATTCCTACTTAGACTGACACCAATGATAAAGTGACATTATTTCCTTAAAGTTTTGGCCTTAGATGTACTTTCACAAGAATGTAACTTTAAAGACAGGAAGTTTTTATTTATTTATTTTTTTTTTTTTCTTCTAGAACAGAAGGCTAAAAATACATCTATAGAAATATCAAGTCATAAGCCTTATGGCAGAGCAACTAGCTAGCAGATGTCCCTGCTTTGAAGAACCTGTCCCTATTTCTGAACTCTAAATGGATGTATCTCTATGCACAGTTGGCCAGAATATAGTTGGTTTGGGACAATATAGGTGGTTGGCATCAGAAGCCAAACATGAGGTCTGGGTTTTTTTTTTTTTTTTTTTTTTTGTTTCCCCCCCTAAGGTGTATATCTCAACTCCAGGACATACAGTAGTTCGTGATAGTGTAGTACCTGATACATATTTAGTTATGATTGATATTTGTAATGTAACATGAGCTTAAGGTGTCCAGTGCCCAGACCATGGATGTTAAACTACGGTATTTACATTTATTCCATCAAGCAGTAACCAGCTTTAAAGTAGAACTAAATCCATAACGGGATACAAGACAAAATGCCTGTTGTGTGGTGGTGGGTAGAGATGAGCGAAGTATTCAAAAATTCGATTCGACTGATTTGGCGAATTCGTGGACAATATTCGATTCGAGTCGAATATATTCGCTGTGAATTTAACTTAAAAAAGGGTGTTTCTAGGCTTCAGAGAGACTTAATATTAGTGCAGAACACTGTACCTTTAATTTAAATGCCCTTGGAGTCTGCTGGGGAAGAGAAATAATACTGACAGTCAGTATGACATGCAGATGAGTGCCGTCGATCTTAGAATCACCGCACACTTCACTCATTTGGCCAGTCACGGGGCCAAAACCAGTGTTTGGAGCCACAGTGTGGCGGTGGAGGCAGCAGCAATGGGAGGCCATACAGCAACCTATGACAAAATGGAAACCAGCAGGAGTGTGAGGAGACCTCAAAGTGGCACATGGCAGAGTGGGAGCAATGGGAGGCAGTACAGGGACCCATGTCACACTGTGGACCCAGCAGCAGCGTGACCAGGCGGTACGGAGGCCCATGGCAGATTACAGGCCTGGCAGCAGCAATGGGAGGCCCGTAATCTGTCAGCACCCTATGACAAAATGGAACCCACCAGCAGTCTGAGGAGACCTGAAAGTGGCACATGGCAGAGTGTGGCGATGGAGACAGCAGCAATGGGAGGCCGTACAGGGACCCATGAGAGACTCTGGACTTGGCAGCAGCATGAGGAGGCGGTATATAGGGGCCTATGGCAGATTAGGGGCCTGGCAGCAGCTATAGGAGGCCCGTAATCTGCCAGCACCCTATGTCAAAAAATTCAACACACCAGCAGTGTGTGAGGAGACCTGAAAGTGGCACATGGCAGAGTGTGGCGATGGAGACAGCAGCAATGGGAGGCCGTACAGGGACCCATGACAGACTCTGGACTTGGCAGCAGCATGAGGAGGCGGTATATAGGGGCCCATGGCAGATTAGGGGCCTGGCAGCAGCTATGAGAGCCCGTAATCTGCCAGCACCCTATGTCAAAAAATTGAACACAACAGCAGTGTGTGAGGAGACCTGAAAGTGGCACATGGCAGAGTGTGGCGATGGAGACAGCAGCAATGGGAGGCCGTACAGGGACCCATGACAGACTCTGGACCTGGCAGCAGCATGAGGAGGCGGTATAGGGGCCCATGGCAGATTAGGGGCCTGGCAGCAGCTATGGGAGGCCCGTAATCTGCCAGCACCCTATGTCAAAAAATTCAACACACCAGCAGTGTGTGAGGAGATCTGAAAGTGGCACATGGCAGAGTGTGGCGATGGAGACAACCCACCGACTGTTTTGCTCGCTGCCAAGCTGCCACCCTCTTCTCCTGATGATGCGGAAGCAATAGCCTGATGACGACGAGGCTGCCAAGTGCAATCAGCCTCATCATCATCAATTAGGGTCTCCGCCTCACTACTAGCCCCCTCGGCTGCGTGTGGGTCAGGAGACAGACCTGTCTCTACACCGGCTACCGAGCCACTCTCCTCGCCACTACTTCTTCGCCTGGCTGCTGAAGAGGCGGATGTCTCCCCCCGTTCCTGACCGCCCTCTGTTAGCTCTTCCTCACTGTACTGGATGACACCGGGAGCACTAGCCTCTGGCTGCGAATAGTGCTGCCTCGACCCCTTCCTCTGCTGCCACGTCTGCTCGCTCCTAAAACATTGCCTCCTCTGCCACTCCTCTGCATGTTGTCTGACATACTCTTTAATTAAACGTTTCTGTGGCCCTAAGTAACAATTCTGTGTCTGTCCCTGAGTAACAATTCTGTGTCTGTCCCTGAGTAACAATTCTGTGCCTGTCCCTGAGTAACAATTCTGTGCCTGTCCCTGAGTAACAATTCTGTGCCTGTCCCTGAGTAACAATTCTGTGTCTGTCCCTGAGTAACAATTCTGTGTCTGTCCCTGAGTAACAATTCTGTGTCTGTCCCTGAGTAACGGTTCTGTGGCCCTAAGTAACGGTTCTGTGGCCCTAAGTAACGGTCTGTGGCCCTCAGTAACAATTCTGTGTCTGTCCCTGAGTAACAATTCTGTGTCTGTCCCTGAGTAACAATTCTGTGTCTGTCCCTGAGTAACAATTCTGTGGCCCTAAGTAACGGTTCTGTGTCCCTCAGTAACAATTCTGTGTCTGTCCCTGAGTAAGAATTCTGTGGCCCTAAGTAACGGTTCTGTGTCCCTGAGTAACAATTCTGTGTCCCTGAGTAACAATTCTGTGGCCCTCAGTAACAATTCTGTGGCCCTCAGTAACAATTCTGTGTCCCGAGTAACAATTCTGTGGCCCTAAGTAACAGTTCTGTGGCCCTCAGTAACAATTCTGTGTCTGTCCCTGAGTAACAATTCTGTGGCCCTAACTAACGTTTCTGTGGCCCTAAGTAACAATTCTCTGGCACTCAGTAACAATTCTGTCTGTCCCTGAGTAACAATTCTGTGGCCCTAATAACGTTTCTGTGGCCCTAAGTAACAGTTCTGTGGCCCTCAGTAACAATTCTGTGTCTGTCCCTGAGTAACAATTCTGTGGCCCTAACTAACGTTTCTGTGTGCCCTCATTAACAATTCTGTGTCCCTGAGTAACGTTTCTCTGTCCCCAAGTAACGTTCTGTGGCCCTAACTCTGTCCCTAATACAGAGCGGTCTGCCTCTCTTGAATGACTGGAGGCAAATGAAGAATTCTAAAATGGCCGCTATTTATAGCTCGACCATTACACAGTGCTGGCTGGCTGGCTGCTGATTGGCTAATGCGATCACATGTCATTAAGGAATGCATTATGGGTCAGCGCGCCTTGTCTGCGCGCCTTCCCAGACATCCCCGCTCCGTCGCCGCACATGTCCGCCGCCATTTTAGGAAAAATTTCGATTCGAATTTTTCCTAAAATGGCGGCGGACATGTGCGGCGAAAATTTTCCAATATTCGACTCGAATTCCACTTCGCCTACTTCGATTCGCTCATCTCTAGTGGTGGGTGTGTTTTTTTTTTTTTTTTTTTTTTTTTTTACACCAGGGTCACCAGAACTGGTGCCCCCATTGGAAGATTTCTCCTCTATTCCTGTTCTGGTGTCAACCCAAAACTTGGGAATTTTCTTTTACTTTTGGTGATAACAGTAAACATGACAAAAAGACAAGGTAAATCTCAATAACAGTAATATAGATGGCAATAAGAACCAGAGAGGTGTTCTAATACATCTCCAATCTATCCAAAACTGTGTTTGTGAACTTTAAAAATTTCTCTACTGTGTCCATAAATACTGAGGTGAATGGGGACTTGTTTAAAAGTGCCTTTACTGCTTGCTTGGAAGATTAAAAATGTTTCTTCTAGTTTTGGATAAAGTAACGCCAGAACCCTTGTCATGTGTTATTGCTGTCTGTGTTCCATGCTGGGGGAATCACTATTGGCTAGACAGAGATGAGAAATCTAAAATTGTAGTTGTTACCATACCAGGAGGTGAGAGGACATCTATCAAAGAGGACACTTGTTCTATCCATCTATCTAAAGAGGGGATTTATCATTTCTTTCTGTCTCTGGGAGAGTAAGAAGGGACAATCTCTGCAACATGGCAATAAAAAAAAAAAAAAAACTCAAGTAATTTGACCTTATTCCTTCTCCTTTTTTTTTTTTTTTCTTATATGCACTGAATCCAAAACTAAAAAGGATTCATTAACAAACAATTCTGTTCAGAAATTTCCCTTTTAGTTTTGGATTGCAAGGGATAGGTTTAGAACATCTGTCAGTTTTTATTGTTTGTGTCTCTGTTGGGCACTGGCAGATGAAGTCTCTTCAAAATGGACACAAGTAACAATAAAAACCCAAAATATACTGTTAGGTCCATATATATTTGGACACAGGCACAATGTTTATATTTTTTTTTTTTAGGTATTTACCAAAACACATTCAGGCTATAGTTATATAATGGATATGGGCTGAGAGTGCACACTCTCAGGTTTAATTTGAGGGGACGTACATCCAAATTGGAGGAAGGGTTTATGAATTACAGCTCATAAAAGTAGCCATCCCCCCTTTCTTTTTTTTTTTTTTTTAAGGGACCAAAAGTAATTGGATAATCAAATATAATCATAAATAAAATGTTAATTTTTTTTAATATTTTGTTGAGAATCCTTTAATAGAAATGACTGCCTGAAGTCAGGAACCCATGGAGATTACCAAAGACTGGGTCTCCACCTTTCTGATGCTTTGCCAGGCTCTAACTGCAGCTGTCTTCAGTTGTTAGTTGTTTGTGGGCCTTTCTGCCTTTAGTTTTGCCTTCAGGTGAAATGTATGCTCAATTGGGTTGAGATCAGGTGATTGACTTGGCCATTGCAGAATATTCCACTTTTCCTTCAAAAGCTCCTGGGTTGCTTTTGCAGCGTTTTGGATCATTGTCCATCAGCAATGTGAAGCACCGTCCAATCAACTTTGCTGCATTTTTGGCTGCATCTGGGCTGTCAGTATATCTCTAAAGACTGCAGAATTCATCCAGCTGCTTCTGTCACATCACTAAATACCAATGACCCAGTGCCACTGGAAGCCATGCATGCCCATGCCATCACACTGCCTCCACCATGTTTTATAGATTACGTTGTGTGCTTTGGATCATGAGCTGTTCCAAGCCTTCTCCACACATTTTTCTTCCCGTCATTCTGGTACAGATTCATCTTGGTTTCATCCATCCAAAGAATGCTTTTTCAGAACTGGTCTGGTGTTTTTAGATGTTTTTTGGCAAAGCCTAGCCTGGCTTTTCTATTCAGGCTTATGAAAGGTTTGCACCTTGTGGTGAACCCTCTGTATTTGCTCCCATGAAGTCTTCTTCTCTTGATTGCAGACTTAGTCAATGATACGCCCACCTCCTTGAGTGTCCTTCACTTGTCTGGTAAAGAAAAACCCATTCACAACATCCATAGAGAGGATCCAGCGATCATCCACCATCGTTGTCTTCCGTGGACGTCCATGCCTTTTTTTTATGTTGCTGAGCTCACCAGTGCGTTCTTTCCTCAGAATGTACCAAACTGTTGATTTGGTCACTCCTAATGTTGCTGCTATCTCTCTGATGGATTTTAGTTTTTTGAAGCCTTACAATGGCCTGTTTCACTTGCATGGACAGCTCCTTTGAACGCATGATGTAGGTTCACAGCAATAGATCCCAAATGCAAATACCACACTTAGAATCAACTTCAAACCTTTGACCTGCTTAACTGATGAATAAATAATGGAGTAGCCCACACCTGGCCATGAAACCGCTTTTGATTAAATTGTCCACTCTGTTACTTTTGGTCCCTAGAAAAAGGTGGGAGGGCTAATCTTAAGAGCTGTAATTCCTAAGCACTTCCTCCAACTTGGATGTACATACCCTCAAATTAAATATGAGACTGTGCACTTTCAGCCCATATCCATTATATAACTATAGCTTGAATATGTTTTGGTAAATACCTGAGAAACTAAAATTGTGCCTGTGTCCAAATATATATGGACCTAACTGTATTTACTTTCTCACTCTATTCAGAAAGGTTTGGCTGGGAGTTCCAGATTAATTTATGGTCTGGTAACATTGGTGAGTGAATATTTTCCAGTAATGTTTCCACTATCCTTTATACTTCAGGTGACAGTGCTGGAGGCCAGTAACCGTGTAGGGGGTCGTCGTGTACTGACCTATAGAGATCCACAGGGCTGGTATGGAGAACTGGGACCCATGCGTATTCCTCCATCTCATAGGTATCTACATAAAAGGCTTTTATATTGATGAAAAAATATTTCATTTTGCATATAACATTCACCTTCATACCTTCTGATAACTAAAAACTAAAGCTGCTAATTCCTAGAGGGTTCAGATGTTAACACTCACACTGTATAATGCTCCACTCTATCAATAAGTGCAGAAAGTCCAACTCTCTCCCAGAAAGCTTTTATTTCATCTTAGTATGTGAAAGTCATAAAATGTACATTTGTTCATTACAGGCTTATACGGGAATTCATTCGTCAGTTTGGATTGCAGATGAACCCTTTTATCCTATCTAATGGCGATAATGTATACATGTTCAATAATATAAGACATCTACAAAAAGATGTTGCTAAGAAACCAAACCTGTTTGGGTTTACGTTGACCCCTACGGAAGAAGGACTATCCATTGATGATGTATTTTCTGAACTGGCATACCAGGTAATCCCTGCATCTTAGAATATACTATATTCTTCGTACTGAATAGGGGACTGCTGGCCGTATCTAGGGGTGTTGGGGCTCCTGGGGTGAAAACATGATGACAGGAGTACAGTGTAAATTCAGAAGAGGAGAGCAGATGAATCAGATAAGAGTAGATAGCATTGCCAGCTAGTGACAAATGGCTTTCATCGGAGTACAATTGCCAGAAATACCTGCTCTTCACCTGAGTCAATGAATAGATGGACTCGTGGAGAGGGGGAGAGAGAGATCTCTATCTTGTGCTATCTACAATAACTCCTGGATATATAACTCAAAGCATCTAAAGTAGTTATCCCCCTGGATAACCACATATTTCATAAAGAAATACCCACAGTTATAGTACCACTACAGTTCCTACATATACAGTAAAAGCCAATGAAAAATAACAAATGCTCAAAAGTACAACATCTGTGTACAAACAGTGCACAATAACAGTGTATATATGTGTAGAGTACATAACGCTCCTTCATACAGTCCATTTGAAAAAGTGGTGAATGGTCCTTTTTAAAGAATGTTACCTCAGCATTTCATATTCATGATATGTATATGTGGTACTATGTACTTTGGGTAAAATTATCTTTTTTTCTTTTTTTTTTTTTTTTTTCATTCCTATTTTAAAACGGTTGTTTTTTACAAGGTGAGATTTCACATATACTCAATGTTTTCCACCATATAGAATCTACCAAACTGATCCTCTTGACACTCAATACATATATATTGAGTGGATCACTTAGTTGGACACTTTGAGGGAAACAAGTTTTAAAGGACTTTTCTGCACTTTATCAAGTGGATTGTGTAGGGAAGTGTTCTATACATATAATTTAAACTGTGTGCATGGTTTGTTACACATGTTTGCTCTTTTGAGTGTAATTTTTGCACATTTGTGTTTTTTTTTTTTTTTTTGTTTTTTTTTTTGTTTTTGTTTTTTTATATTTCATTGCGGTTTGATCTTATATATGCATGTAAGGATTGTGATACTATAGTAATAGGTATTTCTGTATATGGCTAACTAGACCAATGAAGAGAGACAGTAGGAGATTTACTAAAACTGGAGCACTCAGAATCTGGTGTGCATGGTAGCCACTTGGCTTCTGACTTCAGCTTGTTCAGTTAACCTTTTGACTATAGAACCTGGAAGCTGATTGGTTCTATGCAGAGCATGCATTAGATTTTGCATGCTTCCATTTTAGTAAATAACCCCCATAGTGCCAGTAAAAAGCAAGCAGACAAGAGCAGATGGAGTCATGGCTAGGAGCATCAGCATACAAATATAAGCAAACCGGAGGCAAAGCCAACACAGACAGGAAAACAGGATCGGAAGCCCTAAAAATGCTATAACCTGGCCCTTAAGGAAATCTAATTTTCATTGTAACTTCTCACTTTTTTTTCTTTAGTTTGTAAGACGAGTCGTTGGAGAAGAAAACTGCTCTAGAATCTTGGACTTGCTTGACAAAGTGTATTTTCAGGTAAATTTTATTAGGCCAAGACTATATAGCACTGAGAGCACAAAAAATCCATGGACTGTACAAAGGGATCTCTCTGGATGTATATTTTACTTTAAAATTTGCTTGCCTGAAATTAGCTGGGGGTATAAAATTGGGCAGTTCTCTGCTACACTTACATAAGGGCTGCTTTTAGCTGATGTCCATTATATCTGTTTAAATTCTTAACAGGGCAAGTTCCCATCTTTAGAACATGTGTGGGACACCAGTGCTTGTGGACCTGTTAAATGTTTCAATTGTGCTAATTAATGTAAAAAGTTTTTAAATAGCTGCAGCTCGCCCCATGTATCCCTATACATAGAAACTTTAACGTTTAGTAAGTTCCCATTTTTCCAAAACTCTGATACTGTGTTTTTTTGTTTTTTCCCACTGATATATATAGTCTTTCCTGGTGGATGAAGGACATTTGAGTGCTGGTGCTGTTAGAATGCTTGGAACCTTCATGAATACTAATAATCAGCTCTATGTCTCATTTATTGAAGCAATTCTGGATGATTATATTTTTAAATCCCCAAGGTACAGTAAAAAAAAAATGGCATGCATGCTGAATCCAAACCCAGTGAAGTCAACAGGAGCTGAATTTGTGACTTCAAAACAGCCCATTTCCTAGGCTAATGGGCAAAGGGTTGTACAAAATAGCACATATGGGCATGGACACTGTCCTGGAAAACAAGTACAAATGCAAAAAAAAAAAATTAAGCATTAAATTTGTCTGGAAGCACACTTTTTTTTTTTTTTTTTTTTTTTTTTTTGAGGGGGGGGGGGGGAATTTTCGTCACAAAAAAAAATAGCACAGTGGCAAAGCACCCCCTGGCATTTTACTCGTGCTTGCCCATAGGTTGGTGGGTGGGGGGGGCTTATTGGAATTTAGAAGCCACCTTTTACTAATAAAGGGACACCTAAATACCCCTTCCCGTGTGAAAGTGTAAGAGTACTATGTACCCCCTATCATTCACAAAGAAAATGTGTGATTCCCGCAACCACCTGCAGCCGCATCGTGTCTCTCTTGCGAGCCATTCTGAATGGTACCCCCACACATCTCATTCTGCAGCGTGATCGTGGGTGCGGGAAACCGCATGGTCAAAGACTATGCAGTTTCAGTGCAGATGCATTTTGAATGAAACGCAGGCACAGTAGCCCATTCAATTGAATAAAACGGCCATGCCAACGCGAATGTGGGGTGCGCGGCCCACTCTAGTGTGTGAACCGGTTCTAAAAAAGAGCACAAACAGTTTGACTGACTAGTTTGACAAGTCTTCTAATAAAAAAACAAAAACTTGTCCACAATGTACATCCACAATCAATCATATTATTCAGTGATGTTGATTAGAGATGAGCGAAGTATTCAAAAATTCGATTCGACTGATTCGGCGAATTCGTGGAAAATTTTCGATTCGAGTCGAATATATTCGCTGCGAATTTAACTTATAAAAGGGTGTTTCTAGGCTTCAGAGAGACTTTATATTAGTGCAGAACACTGTACCTTTAATTTAAATGCCCTTGGAGTCTGTTGGGGAAGAGAAATAATACTGACAGTCAGTATGACATGCAGATGAGTGCCGTCGATCTTAGAATCACCGCACACTTCACTCATTTGGGCAGTCACGGGGCCAAAACCAGAGTGTGGAGCCACAGTTGTGGCGGTGGAGGCAGCAGCAATGGGAGGCCATACAGCACCCTATGACAAAAATGGAAACCACCAGCAGTGTGAGGAGACCTGAAAGTGGCACATGGCAGAGTGTGGCGATGGAGACAGCAGCAATGGGAGGCCGTACAGGGACCCATGAGAGACTCTGGACCTGGCAGCAGCATGAGGAGGCGGGGTATAGGGGCCCATGGCAGATTAGGGGCCTGGCAGCAGCTATAGGAGGCCCGTAATCTGCCAGCACCCTATGACAAAAAATGGAACACACCAGCAGTGTGAGGAGACCTGAAAGTGGCACATGGCATGAGACACTGTGGACCTGGCAGCAGCATGAGGAGGCGGGTACAGGGGCCCATGGCAGATTAGGGGCCTGGCAGCAGCTATGGGAGGCCCGTAATCTGCCAGCACCCTATGTCAAAAAATTGAACACACCAGCAGTGTGAGGAGACGTGAAAGTGGCACATGGCAGGGGCATGATTCATGGCGGATTTAGTCAGTTGTGTCAGGAACTGGTGGTTTGAAATCCAGACTAATCCACGCCTGATTCATTTTCACAAACGTGAGTCTCTCCACACTTTGGGTGGACAGTCGTGTCCTCCGGAGTTACAATACCTCCTGCCGCACTAAACACGCGCTCCGATGCCACGCTACTGGCCGGGCATGACAGCCTTTCAAGGGCAAATTCAGCTAGTTGGGGCCAAAGGTCAAGTTTCGTTGCCCAGTAGTCAAGGGGATTGTCTACCTCGGTTGGCAGGGTGCTGTCCAAGTAGGCCCAAGCCTGTTGTTTGAGGTCCTGCTCCAGGTCCACCTGATGCTGCTGCTGCTGCTGCTGCTGCGGCTGGGCTTAGTAGTTTCCTCACTGCGCTGGTGAAGAAAGCTACTCATCATCGACTGCAGACTGAGGCAGCCGCTGCTGGTGGAGCTGCCACTGCTCCTACCACCCCACCCCCTCCCCTGCTGCCATGGCAGCGGAACGCGAGCGCACAGGGCCCACAGTGTCTGAGGATGGACGTTGGCGCAGAAAGGCAGAGACCAACTGACTACATAGGTGGTTTTTATAGTACGTTATTTTGGCCTCCCTCTCAGCAGGTGTGAAAAAGGCCACCATTTTTGAACGGTAGCGAGGGTCCAACAAGGTGGACAGCCAAAAGTCATCCCTCTGTCTGATGGTTATTATTCGGCTGTCGCTACGCAAGCAACCGAGCATGCTATGGGCCATTTGTGCCATGGAATGCGAGGGACTCCCTGCCTCCATCTCCACAGCATACTGCCACGGTGCGTCTGGGTCCTCTGTCTCCTCCTCTCCTCTACCAGATGCTCCTGCTCCTCCACTCCTGTCCGCTGAGTGGAAAAACCACCCATTTCACTCAATAATTCCTGAGCACCAATGTCCTCCTCTACCTCCTCCTCTTCTTCCTGTCCTGCCCCCACAGGGGTCATGTGGCGTTGAGATCTGTGCGCCACGTCTACCGCACCCTGACCAGCCATTGTTAACCATTTGTTCCAGGATGTGCAACAGAGGAATGACGTCGTTCATCCCATAGTCCTGCCGACTCACGAATAGCGTGGCCTCCTCAAAGGGCCTGAGCAAGCGGCAGGTGTCACGCATGAGCTGCCAATGGCTGACATCGAAGTTACACAGGGGAGTACCTTTATCTCCGCTTGTAACATCAGGAAATCGGTGATGGCCTTTCGCTGTTCGTAAAGGCGGTCTAACATGTGTAGGGTTGAATTCCACCTTGTTGCAACGTCGCAGATCAGGCGATGCTGTGGAATTCCGTTCTGCCGCTGCAGCTCAAGGAGGGTGTGCTTTGCGGTGTAGGAATGGCTGAAATGCATGCAAAGTTTACGTGACATTTTAAGGATGTCTTGCAGTGGGATGGTGGATTTTAGGAACCGCTTGACAACCAGATTGAACACGTGAGCCATGCATGGCGCATGGCACAACCTTCCTTGACGCAGAGCAGACACCATGTTCTTTCCGTTGTCGGTCAACATGGTTCCGATTTTCAGTTTGCGCGGAGACAGCCATCTGTCGATTTCTCTGTTCATTACACTGAGAAGTTCCTCCCCTGTGTGACTGCGTTCGCCAAGGCATACCAGGTGCAGCACAGCGTGACACCGTTGCGCCCTGCACATGTGATATGCCGGGTCGGGTAATGGGACTTGGCACGGGGTACGGTGGCGGCTGGCTGGACACGGCGGAAGAAGAGGTGGTAGAGGCGGACATCTTTGTGTGGACCAAGGACGTGCAAACGTGGAGGCAAAAGCGGCGTGACCTGTCCAAGTTGCTGGTGCGGCTGTGACGACGGCACCACGTTCACCCAGTGGGCTGTAAATGACATGTACTGTCCCTGACCGTAGTTACAGCTCCACACGTCGGCGCTGCCGTGCACTTTGGCAGAGACCGACATGCTCAAAGACTGGCCCACCATCTCTTCTACATGTGAATGCAGGCTGGCACTGCCTTTTTGGCGAAGAAATGACGGCTTGGCACTCTCCACCGCGGCGCGGCACAAGCCATCATTTCTCGGAAAGGTGCTGAGTCCACCACTTGGAAAGGGAGGGACTGCAGCACCAGCAACTTGGACAGGAGGACGTTCAGCTTTTGCACCGTCGGGTGGGTGCTCGCAAACTGTTGTCTCTTGGAAACGGATTCCAAGAAAGACTGCTGACGGAATCCGTGAAGAGGAGTAGCAGGAGAAGGAGCATCTGAACGAGCGGAAGATGGCAACGAGCGACAACTCCCCTCAGCAGAGGTGTTGGAGCCTTGACTGGCTGATAGAGGGCGATTGACGTCGGGTGACGGAGCAAGTAACGGAGCGGGTGATGGGGCTGGGGCGGGCAGAACCGCCGTATCTTTATCACGGTTTTCCCAGGCCACCAAATGGCGATGCTGCATATGCTGCCGCAACGCTGTAGTCCCAACATGGGCCCCCTGGCCACGCTTGACTTTCTGGCCACATAGTCGACATACGGCTACGTTTACTTCCTCGGGCGGCTTGACAAAAAATTGCCACACACGCCGAGTAGGAAACTTTGCCCCCGATACTCCTCACTGGCTGACTGCTAATTCCTCCGTGCACACCGGCACCACTACTGGCCGTGGTGGTAGGCTGCAGTGGAGCTGGTGCTGTACTCCGTGGCCGTTTGCCTCCACTGACACTGCTGCGACCCTGCTGCCTCCTGGGCAACCCACCGACTGTTTTGCTCGCTGCCAAGCTGCCACCCTCTTCTCCTGATGATGCGGAAGCAATAGCCAAGTGCAATCAGCCTCATCATCATCAATTAGGGTCTCCGCCTCACTACTAGCCCCCTCGGCTGCGTGTGGGTCAGGAGACAGACCTGTCTCTAGACCGGCTACCGAGCCACTCTCCTCGCCACTACTTCTTCGCCTGGCTGCTGAAGAGGCGGATGTCTCCCCCCGTTCCTGACCGCCCTCTGTTAGCTCTTCCTCACTGTACAGTGGGCTGAGCCCACAGCATGCGATACTTCGCTTGGTGAGGGAACACCAAAGGACAGGGGCAGGTAGAGGACACGTGATTTCAGTGGGCTTGCTCCCGGGCCATGCCAACTAACGGTTGTGTCTGACGTACCCACCGACCGTTGGCTGTAGGTGTCAGAGGTGACCTGGGAAGAGGAAGACGACCGAGCCAACCAATCGATGACGGCAGGGTTGTCGGTGGAGACACGACCGCTGGATGACACCGGGAGCACTGGCCTCTGGCTGCGACTAGTGCTGCATCGACCCCTTCCTCTGCTGCCACGTCTGCTCGCTCCTAAAACATTGCCTCCTCTGCCACTCCTCTGCATGTTGTCTGACATACTCTTTAATTAAACGATTCTGTGTCCCTGAGTAACAATTCTGTGTCTGTCCCTCAGTAACAATTCTGTGTCTGTCCCTCAGTAACAATTCTGTGTCTGTCCCTGAGTAACAATTTCTGTGTCCCTCAGTAAACAATTCTGTGTCCCTGAGTAACAATTCTGTGTCTGGCCCTGAGTAACATTTCTGTGGCCCTCAGTAACAAATCTGTGTCCCTCAGTAACAATTCTGTGTCTGTCCCTGAGTAACAATTCTGTGTCCCTAAGTAACGTTTCTGTGGCCCTAACTCTCTCCCTGAATACAGCCAGGTCTGCCTCTGTTGAATGACTGGAGGCAAATGGAGAATTCTAAAATGGCCACCATTTATAGCTCGACCATTACACTGTGCTGGCTGGCTGGCTGTTGATTGGCTAATGCGATCACATGTCATGAATGAATGCATTATGGGTCAGCGCGCCTTGTCTGCGCGCCTTCCCAGACATCCCCGCTCCGTCGCCGCACATGTCGCCGCCATTTTAGGAAAAATTTCGATTCGCGCATCTGAAATTTTCCTAATATTCAAAACGAATTCCACTTCGCCTACTTCGATTCGCTCATCTCTAATGTTGATCCATGTCAATTATGATACCTGAAAAACTCACCGAAAAAAAATATCCACCTGCTAGGGACACATCACCGAAAAAAAAATCCACCTGCTAGGACACATTAAGACCTGTTCGCTGAAAGCGGTTGCCTCCCACCAAATGACAAAGTGAGCAGATGACAGCTGTTTTATACAAGGGGTTGGGGGTCTCCTGGATGATGTCATTGACCATATATGGGCACAACCATATTGGCTGATGTCATATAGGGGTGAACACAGGGAAGTAATTTATTGTCCATGTACATATAAAAATCTAAACGGCAACAAAGTTCATCTCCATCTGGCAACCTATCTATTTTTTTTTTTTCCATATGGATGAGCATGATGGTTTTAATATAATTACAAGTGGATGTACTAACTTTTCATTTTTAGTTTTGGGCAGGGAAAATGTAAAGCCCCTGTCAATTTGTTGGTGCTGTCTGTGTTCCATACTAGGAATGCTCAGGGTTTTGAGCACAGAAACCTCAGCTGCCCATTGACACATGTGCGTTTAAAGTCCACCCTCTTCTGGCACCAAACATATATGTTATGTGGGTGGCAAGAAGTTAGATGGCTAAATTAATCTACTTTGAAACTTCTAGAAATGAATACAGATCACTATGACCTCATTCTAAAACATTTTCTATTTCTCCAGGTTGGATGAGATCACTGGAGGTTTCGATCAATTGCCCTTGGCTTTAGCCAAACGTTTGGGAAATGTGATCAGATTGAAATCCACCGTAGTTAAAGTGGTGAGGAATGGAAAATCAGTAATTGTCTACTACCGTAAAGATAGATCCACCCCTCCCACCAGCATAATGGCAGACTATGTCATCATAACATCTACTGCAAAGGCAACCAAACGTATTAAGTTCAGTCCTCTTCTGTCCACCGAGAAGAATTTTGCATTA